GCACCCCCGCTTCCGAGCTTCAGGTCTTTTAACCGTACCGATTATTTCCTCAAATGGCCGCCAGCCCTCATGTAAAGGAAGGGGAAGGACAAGCGCCGGCAGAGGTGGCTATGGATGTCAAGGCCCCGCTTCAAAGAAGCAGCCGGCAGGCAGGACTGCTTCTCTCCCACCAAATTAACGAACTGTTGCTGAAAAGGGGAGAGTACACGCAACAAAAATAGCCCCACTGTGCTTACCAAACCACGGCCCTGCTACCAATACCATGGGGCTGCTCCAGTCACAGGGGACTGGAATTACCTGAAAGTTAGTTTCGTGGGTTAGACACACAGCCAGATGGTTCCTGTAATTCCACAGAGACAGACCGTGTGTCCATATGCACAAATACCTAAAAAAAGTAGCGACGCGGCTAAGCGAGCAGGCCTGTCCCCTTCCTGTTATCAGAAGATGAGCGTCTTACCAGAAGCCAGGTAAAAATACAATAGCCAACTTTTACTTTCATGGTTAACATTGGCCCACATTCTTCACTCTGCACAGAATCTCATCACATACTACTTGCATCTCAGAAAACGCAAAACATCATAAAAAAGAATGCAAGTTACTTAAATCAAATTGTTTGAAATTTTAATTGAGATCCATGTTTGTTTTGCAACAGTTTCTCGAAGGCTACGATGAAACACAAGAATAATTTTGAACGAGACTAAATAAAAGCACAAATCCCGGGAAATAATTCTGCATGTGGAAAAGACTGAATAGAAAAAGCCTGATTTTAACTAAGATCTACAGGATTACCAAGAGCATTGGGGAACATCCTTGCAAAAATGCCTCCCTGCAGTTAAGGCTTTGAAAAGAAAGTTTTTCAGAAGTGTAGAGAACCTCTAATCTCAAGGCTATAATTGAGAATTAGAAGTCCTTAGCATCCTTGAACATAGAGCTAGACAATTATTTTCTAAACAAATCTAACTTTACAGTAAAGAGCTATTAATCTTATTAAAAATGAGATTGATTCTTACCACTGGGAGCTGGCACTGTAACTGCCACTCACTCAGTTGTTTCTAATTTATTGGATGAAACAAATAATGCAACATTTCATGGTTGGTATTGTTTTATTGTCTAATATTGATTACATTATTTACAGTCCTACTTTTCAATCCACAGTTTAGCACTCATACCTATGGCTTTTTCTTATGTTCAGCACACCTTTGTGTCAAGTGTCGGAATTTTGTTTAAAAAAACGGGAACCTGATACCATATAGACAAGTCTCCTATATATTTCTGTTTAAACATATTCATTTTCAAAAACGACGATTTATAAAAGAAGAGTCTGCTGGTAGCTTTCTTTCAGCTCATGTCTACCACAGATTCTGCTGAGTTTTTCCTGTTTTAAAGTGTTTCTTTTAGAGTGTCCTGCTGCCTCCATGTGGAATCTGTTTCCTCCCTCAGCCCCCCTGTCTCTAAATTTAATGGGGAAAAAAAAAAAAAAGAAAAAAAATCAGTAGCTGACAATTCTAAGCAAAAATATAAAGCGCTATGAAACATTACCTACATTGCTTTTTGCTGAACTAGGTTCTTGAACACTCTAGGAACTTTGGGGAAATTTAACCAGTCAGTGTTGAAAAGGCACAGGATTTTTGTGCTCAGAGACCTCCAGCAACAATGTTTCTTTCCCCAGCCTGAAAGTTAGGGACTGCTGTTAGGATACAGCAAACAGTCTGATCTGAAAATTCACAGGTACCCAATTGCCACTTGCAACAGAACCCACCAGATTTTACTGATTCTTCTGCCACAGACACTCCGCAATTCTATAAAAAGAGTTTGCTTCTATGGCAAGAGGAAGAGAGGTGAAGTTACCCTTACATATACCCAGAGATGGTGTAACAGTGATACAAGCTATTCATTACTAAAATCCTCACAAAGCTGTCCCTGTCTGTGGTAGTTTCTGTTCCATGGTATTACATGAATGGGAAAGTTATTTTTCACATATGACAGAAGTTTAGCTGTACATGAAGAAAGCTAATTTTGGTCCACTTGTCCAGCTTCCTAAGGACAGCATATTGGAAAGGTGACCACTCACGGTTCAAAAACCAATGTAAAATTAACAAAAATAATTTGGTATTTCATTCCTAAACCTGCATAGTGTCGTTATTTGTCCTAGTCATCCACCTTTTCATTCTGTGTGTCCTCTAATTGTTGAGTTTTTAATTCTTCAGCTTGTTCACAATCTTCCTTATCTGCATCATCTACTTGATTAGGTTCCTTTTCTTCTGCTTCTCTTTGATCAACACTTGCATATTCTACTTGTTCCAGGTCTGTTCCATCTATAAGTTCTGCCTGTACTTCTTCCATCTGTATTTGATTTACGTGCTCAACATGTAACTGCTCCACATGAACTTCAGCACCTTGTTCAGTCTGAATATGTTCAACTTCCAAGTAACTAATTTGCACCTGTTCTTGCAGTTCATCTATCTGTGGGCCTTTCACTTGATTGTCCTGTATGAGATCCTGGTGCATCTGTTCCACTGTTACCTGTGCAGGATCCACTTGTACCTGAATTACTGGTAGGACATGAACTTGCTCCACTTGTTCAATTATAGTCATTGATGTTACTGGTTCAGCTTCCACAGCTTCCACTGGAAGAACCTCTTCTGCCACTATTCGTTCTGAAATATTGTGCATTTCTTTGAGATGCCTTCTCAGCTCACTGCCTTGCATAAACCACAAATCACATAAGGTACAGTGGTTGGGTTTGTCACCTGTGTGTATTACCAAGTGATCTTTGAATTGATCCCAGCTGTTAAACACACTGTTACAAACCTGAAACAAAAGATACAGTATGTTAAACAGTACCAACAGAAATATGACAAAATATAGCGGCTATTTCAGATCATGACTTCATATAGTGTAGCTTCTTGCTACTTGGATTAAAAAAACATAGAGGTAAAAGCTGAGAAGTCAGCTTCGGATGAACAGAAGACCTGGTACTATTTCTTTTTATGAAACAGTGTGCTACTCTGATTTGGGCATACACAGGATACCTACTAAATTTATGAGTCAGTAGAGGATTTGGAAGTTTTCTTATTCGAACCTTATGTGAAACTCATATACAGTATCAAGTCCTAATAAATGTCTGGTACTAGAGTTTTGGGTGGAAAGCTATTTATGTAATAATATTGTACAACAGAAGTACAATACAAACTGTCCTTTTACTGAAGTTCTAGTAGCCAGAAGCCAACTTTTCCTTATAAGCTTTCATTTGCTCATGGTATCGTGACATTTAACTGGCTAGACTGAACTCTCCCATTTTGCCATTTCAAAAAACCACTCGAGTGATTTCAGCAGGTTCTCTTCCAGCTAAAAGTACTGCCTCAACTGCAGACACACTATTTTCACAAAGCACATGAGCACACTTCCTTCCCTTCAAATTTAGTTCTAAAGAGACAAAAATTCAAGAAAAGCTTATTCAAGAATTGCTGTAGTTTCTACGGTCTGAAGAAACACTAATCCACATTCACATCTGTGGGAGGATGTGGTATCAAAGGGTCACAAAGATAAAACAGTATATTCAATGAAGCTATTAGGTACAACTTTGTGTTACACAGTAATTCTTGCATTCAGAACTAACTTATCTTTAAGACAAAGGTATGCTCCTAAGAATTAACTTCAGATTACCATAACAACTAAATGATGTAACAGTATCAGTGAAACTTCTGATTAAATGACTTGTTTAGCAACACAAAATTAATTCATCTCCTGCAGTATTCAGTGCTTTCTGTGAATAACATCCCTCTCTCCTTTGGAACAAATAAAGTCAACATCTCCCCTACACAACCCAATTTAACCTCAAGCCACAGTAAGGTGGAACTGAGTAAGGTGAGAGCCTTAAGGGAAAAACACAGAGGGAGAGAAAAGTGGGGGGAGAGAGAAAAGCGGAGGGGTGGGGTGAAAGAGAAAGAGAGAGGAAAAGAGCGAAAGAGAGTGGAAAAGAGTGAAAGAAAGAAAGCATGAGAGAGGAAGAGAGAAAGGGTGAGAGAGAGAGTGTGAGAAGAGAGAGAGAGAGCAAAAAAGAGAGATAAAAAGAGGGAGAGAGAACAAAAGAGCGAGAAAGAAAGAGAGAGAAAGTGCATAAGAGAGAGCAAGAGAGCATGAGAAAGAAGTGTGTTCTTATTTGAGACTGTCACAGCAGTGGGGCAGCAAAATGGCCAATAAAATGCTACAACCAACCTCAGCTCTTGTATTTTCCAGCTTTTCAGAATCAACTTTTAAAAGCTATGTAAGATTTATGTGAACAGCTTTTCAAATGTCAGTTACGTATAGTGACCAAGTACCTTACCTATGCATCTACAGCATTTCTATTTGCTCAGAAGACATTACAGATTTTCATCATAAGTTGGAATGACTTTCCAGACAAAGTCAACATGTTAGGTATCAAACAGAAGAATAATAAAATGGGAAATAAAATAGCACTCTGTATTTTGGACTTTAGTGAAGGAAAGGCCTAGGTCAGTGCATCAAGAACCTTGAAAAGGAAGCAGAAAGATCAGTAACATGCAGATGAACGCTTACCCACACACAAGAATCTCTCTGATTATAAGTATTACGAGTCTCCATATCACTAATTCCATATATTAAATAGAACTATGTAGATATAAGAATTTATCTGCATGTTGTGGTTGGATGCTATCCTTACATTTATTTTACTAAAAGTAGCTCTTGGAGACATAAGCCCACTCTCGTTGCCTTTCCTGCTCAGTACTCACACTGCCTCAGCACAGGAAGGAGGTATCTAGCCTCAGGCTCTGCTACTTCCATTACCCACCTGACATTCATACAGCTTCTTTCTTCCCTTTTTAGCTCCAGCTCCAGACTGACAGGCCGTCAGGTGACATTTGAGTGTGCTATTCCTAGCAAAACGTTCATGGCAGTTTGGACATTCAAATGGTTTTTCACCTGTTAAGACAGATACAGGGATTTGTAAGTGTATAAAACCAGCCAGGTTTCTGTCAGCTTTCTCTTCTTCACCTCTCTCCCTTTTGTTTAGATTGGTAAATATGCTGGAAAGATGTGGCCAACTGGATTATTCTACAGAAGAAGAGAAAGACATTGTATGTAAACTTTATTTACATAAATAAAAGGGCAAAAACCTAATGTGAAATCATAATTCTCATTTAGAAAAAAAAAATGTAACAATTACCAGTGCCATTTAAGGTACATTTAGGTGGTTACAGAAATCAGATTATTATTCTGATGAAATATCTTAAAGAAATAGCAGCTCTTTCTCTCTTTTTGTCTGATAATGTTTACAGTTAAGGAGTCAACATCAGTAAATATACAAAGTGACACATTAAAGAAGGAAGTGTTTAAATAATAGAAAGTTGTATTTTCAAGAACAGTATCAGCTTGTGTGCAAGAGCTGAAACTGAGATCCAGAAAAAGAAGTTGGCGTGGAATGAGCGTGAAATAACAATGCATCAGTATTAAAACAAACAAACACCCTGTCCCCCCCAGAATACAGTGAAGAGAAAGCACAGAGGGACATAAATGGGCACAAGCAAGATAAAAATTCCTTTCAATTTGAATTTGGCTACTTCATTTCAAACCTGGTACCAAACACAGAAGCCAGCTAAGGACAACAGCAGGGGAGGCTGAAAACATGTTGTTTTCTCTTTTTCATCCAAAGTAGCATATTGTTATTACTGTCATCAAGTAGTAACAAAGAACAACTTGTGTCTCTGTTTAGTAATTTCATCATGCACAAACACAATGAAATTTAAGGAAATTAAAGTACAAAAAATTAAGAACAGTGTGTTTCTTCTGAATGTCTGATAATTAATATGTGGAGGTACTGACACCAACATTACTACTGAAACAAACAGCTTAATGAACAGCAAAAGAGGCTGAGGCCTTTCAGTGAATAACATAAGAATCTATCCAAGCCAGTTGGAAAACCTGCATTTTTAGGAATGCAGTAGTTATTTACTATTGAGATGGAAAGCCAATAAACCTATATTTTCAGAAATAAAGATATTCAGAAATGCCTAATTAGCTTTTCAAAAGAAATCCACAAGTAGCCTATAATTCTCACTTACACACATAAAGGCTACAGAAAAATGTTAAATGCGGGGAACATTTCCCTTAATGGTTTCAAAATGCTGTGTTTTTGAAGGCTGTTGTACAGGTAATGCAGAGGATGCTAAACTGCCATCAGCCTTACAGGTCAAAAATCATGGACTGTGCCCAAGCAACCAATGGATACTACAGAGCAAAACTTATGCCACAGACCTTCACCTGCCCTGTGATCTGATAACATTTAAATAGTTAACTGGAGCAAGACACTAGTCGGGGACAGATTTATCCTATTCTTACTCAGATTCTTCAGTAATCTCCAATACATTCTGCCAAAAGTGTCCGAAAGTGACAACTCAAAGATAACAGCGGCAATATCCAAAGACCAAAAGACATCGCCTGACTTCTTGTACAGTGTAAATCAAAGCTGTGAGCGGGGCTGCACCAATCACAGCAGTGATGGAAAACAGAGAGCGTGCCAGCTGCCTTCTCTCCTCTCTCTTCTCTGAGAAACCCACTGGCCAGCTGGAGGCTAAACTCCTCTGCGAAAGATCACGACTTGCTTCTCCTCCCCAGTGTGTCATCCAACTATGAGTTTAGTCTCATCTAAGTGTGATTTTATGAAGAGGGAGGGTTTTGGCCTGATTTAATTATCTTTTTCTCCCTTTATGGGAATGGATGAGATTTCACTTGCCAATTGTAACTCACAGGACAGAAATTCTGACCAGAGATAGTCTGATATTGTGCTGGTCCTTTATAATTTGACAGTCACAGGAAGAAGGCTGCCTCAAATAAATATTTTTAACCCAAAGAAATTCATAAAAACTAACACAGTGACTTTTATTTGCCTAATACATAAGAAATACCAGGGAATTCAACCATCACCATCAAACTACCACATCATTATTTAGGTGGGGTTTAGAGAGAAATAGTAAATCTAGTTATTATTTTTTTTCCACAAACACACCAAAGGCAGGTGTTCATCAAATGCACTTATTGGGATCATTTATTCAAGATACGTAAATAGAACACATTTATTCACTCCTGTGGAAGATGTTATTTGCAGTTCAAAGCACGCTTCCTGTAAAACATATTTCAGATTTACCAAGAATGGCGAAGACCTTGATTAATTTTTAATTGGAAGTTTGTCCAAAAATTACTTCAGTTACAGGGTTTTCAGACAAGGGCAGATTAATTGAGCTGCTTGAAACACATCACGACTCCTTCACTTGCACTTTTACTCATGTGAGCACACACACACTCTCCATAAAAGAACAAAAAGAAGAAAAATAATCAAGAATGCCTAACACTGAGAAATATTCAGCAGTCAAGATTTCCAGTAAAATCAGAAGGAATCAAAGCTGTTCAGTGGCTCTTTCTGGTAGAGAATATAAATTTTGCAAAATACCAGGATTAGACCAGCATATTGAGAGCAGCAGCCTCATTCAAAGATTGATTTCTGCATGAGGAAATTGCTCTTCTTATGTAAGATGAATTAGAGCTATTGAATTCAACAGATACCCATTAAGTGCAGCCTTGCAGAATTTCTGTCCTGTGCGTTACTTACGACTGGCAAAGTGAAATCTCATCTATTGTCATAAAGGGGAACAAGATAATAATTAGATCAGACCAGAACTTCTCCCTCTTTATAAGTTCTGGAAATGACTTTGTTAATACTTTCAGACATACATGACATGCAAGATATATTTGAGGTATTTTTTCAGAGACTCAGAAGCTGCCTAAGGCACTGTACGTATGAGTGTTAAAAAAACTCCATGGGTCTCCCTCCTTTCTTTTATTGATACAAAGATAATAGCCATTGGTAATGTCAAATTCCTACATCAAAAAGAATTACCACCACCCATCGGTGCCTATTTCTGTCCCAATTGCTATTTTCATGTTATTGCTGGTGTTGTGATTAAGCAGCAACAGGATCAATTACTTTGTAGGACATTTTGTCCCAGGCCTTTTAATTTCATTTTAGCATTCAACTACTGCTATACAGAATTCAGAACTTAGCCTTTGGTTGAATAGGAGTTTTTCCACTGACCTTAGGAGACCACATTTAAATGGTAGTATCTCTTTTGATTCAATTTTATGAGATTCAACAAGGCCAAGTGCTGGGTCCTACACCTGTGTCACAACAACCCCATGCAGCCCTACAGGTGTGGGGAAGAGTGTCTGGAAAGCTGCCTGGCAGAAAACAACCTGGGGGTGTTGGTTGACAGCTGGCTGAATATCAGCCAGCAGTGTGCCCAGGTAGCCAAGAAGGCCAACAGCATCCTGGCCTGTATAGTGTTGCCAGCAGGTCTAGGGAAGTGATCGTCCCCCTGTACTTGGCACTGGTGAGGCACCACCTCAAGTACTGTGTTCAGTTTTGGGCCCCTCCCTACAAGAAAGACATTGAGATTCTGGAGTGTGTCCAGAGAAGGGCAACAAAGCTGGTGAGAGGTTTAGAGAACAAGTCTTATGAGGAGCGGCTGAGAGAACGGGGGTTGTTCAGCCTGGAGAAGAGGAGTCTGAGGGGAGACCTTATTGCTCTCTACAACTACCTGAAAGGAGTTTATAACGAGGTGGGGGCTTGTCTCTTCTCCCAAATAATAAGTGATAGGACAAGAAAAAATGGCCTCAAGTTGCGCCAGGGGAGGTTTAGATTGGATATTGGATTTCTTCACCGAACGGGTTGTCAAGCATTGGACCAGGCTGCCCAGGGAAGTGGTTAAGTCATCATTCCTGGAGGTATTTAAAAGATGTGTAGATGTAGTGCTGAGGGACATGGTTTAGTGGTGGTTTTGGCAGTGTTAGGTTAACAGTTGGACTTGATTATCTAAAAGGTCCCTTCCAACCTAGACAATTCTATGATTCTCCGATTTTAAGCTTAAGGCTTTTGAAAACGCTAAACTGGAAGTAACTAGATTCCATGTGTTATACTGGTATCAATATATATTTAGAAAAGACTCTGTACCTCCCATGACATGCTAAGTTGCTTTGTTCCCAAAATTCTTCATTGCAACAGCAACCAACATATTGTGATATTTGGGTTACTGTGTTAATTTGCCACAAACTCTTCTTTGAAAAGGCTTTTGTTAAGTAGCTTGTATTTGGATTGCTTATAATGGAGAAACACTCCCTGCTTCATAGGGCACAAGGATTTGCCTAAGACTGTTTATAAATGGAACTTTTAAGGGGCTATAGGGAATAGACTGGACACAGTGTTATATATCAATACTTAGCAGTCCCATATATAGATACAAAGAAATTTGAATTAAAAGGCTCTAAGAACAACAAGAAGCTGCGAAAGAAATAGGGCTGCTACCCTCCATTAAATTCTTATTGATCACTCATGACCGACATATTAAACAAAAACATCTGGAATATCAGGACCACACATATTTTACATCCAGAGTTATCTGTATAATGCTCGGTATCTGTTCACATCGTAGACTTTTCAGTGAGATGAAGAAGTAGCATCTTAACCTCCCATATTCTAAAGAAGAAAGAAGGAGCACAAGTCATTTTGTACTCAAAAGATGCTATCCAGATTTCAGAGGGTGATTTCACAGTAAAAAAAACTGTACTATAGTCACTAGAAATGTTTTGCTGCATTAATTAACAAAGAAAAATCAAATCATAGATGAGATGTCAAAAGCAAGGGTGAAACTTTCCAAACAAGATGGTACAAGAGAGAATTGGTAGGGCGCATTGTATGCCTAAAGCATTAACAGGCATTCGCTCAGAAGTTCTGTTACATGTAGAAACCCTCTGAACTGTACTATTCTGAGAAGCTCACAGTTCAGATCATATTTTAACAGAAACATTTATTAGCAGAATTGTGAAAATAAAAGTAGCTCCTAAGTTTGACATTTTTGAAGAAAACACGCCTTAAGAAATTATTTTGAAAAAATCTTTGAGATTTGATAGACTTGAGAGAGAAGCTTCATTAGTGCTTTCTGGTTTTAGGTGCCTATTTTTAACCACTTCAATCCCTCAAAATTTTACATCAATGGAAAACAAAACAAACAAACAAACAAAAAGACAAACCAGCATTTTAATTGTAACTAGAAGACAAGTATTTCTAGCACTCAGGACTCATATGTTCTCTTGAGAACATTCTCTATTTCCCTTAAACATGCAAAAACTCAAAAGTGCTAGAGCCAAGGCCACAAGGACATGACTATAGCAGTGCTCTTACCTGTGTGCTTCCGGAGGTGCTCTTTAAAATGTCCAAAGTGGTCAAACTGCTTATCACAGTACTGGCATATATGTATTTTTTTCCCAGGTCTTTGCTTCTTGCTGGCACCACCTTCATCGAGGTGGTAACAGGTGAGGTGCTGTTTCAAAGCACTCTCTCGCAGGTACCTTTTATTGCATATGTCACACTTGTAACTCTCAGCAGAGTGTGTTTTCATGTGTTCCTTAAAATGGTAAAACAATTTAAATGAACGGTTACATTTCTCACAGTGGAATAAATTCTTCATGTGTGACAGCTGAAATTCCACAATTTCAATACCTTCTACCTGTTTGCACGAGGGATCAGTTGCACTATCACCTTCTTCTTGGATCTGGCATTTTGTCTCTCCCTGACGATACTTACTGGTGATATCTGCCAAAAGAGCCAAAGCAGATTCATCTGATGTACCTGTTGTCTGTATGTACTTTATGGATTGCTCTGCAGATGCTACTTCTTCAAGTGTTTCAATGCTGTCATCTTCCACTTCAATCGTCCCTTCAGCAATCTCAACCTCAATTTCAACAGGGTCCGACTCTGCAGATGGCAGTGTTTCTGTGATAACATTAGAAGTTTCAGCTATCTTCCTCTTTTTCGGTTTATTTTTGCCTTGTGCTTGATTTGATTCTAAGGGTGATGAATTTTCTTTGTTCCTGAAAGGCATTTGTATAAACATGGTTAAGATCCGTAAGCACTGACGTAACAGTTCCTGCCTAATACTGAGCTTCTACATTCAACACTCTCTAGCTGTTTCTCAAAGCAGCTGAATGATGAATGACCACATAATCTTTGTGCATGTTAGAAGCTAATTTGACCTTAATCTATACTCCTTAGAGCTGTAAAATAGCATGGTTAAAGCTGCAGAGCATTTGACATAAGGCTACTAAAGTGTTTTAAACAGCTCTGCTCGATTGATACAGAGCATCTATAAAGAAGAAAGGCCAGTTAACCCAGTGATGTAAGTTTATCTAAGAAACTTGTGAAATTCTGTACTTGGAAAGAAAACTTCCCTGAAGGAGAGTTCTTTGGCCTGCCTACTCAGAAATAAGATTCACGTCCTTCCTACGCTGTTCCTCCTGGAGTGTGTGCAATTGCCTGCAGCGCTTGCAGCTTGTTAGAAAACACTACAGCTGTGACTTCATCCAATGATTATTGTAACATTGTGTACTTCAGGGAAGCACACAGCTAACAGCTGAGGTAAAAATAAAAGCCGCTGGGATGTGGAAAGAGTATTCTAGTTTAATTTTCTGGGCTTAAACACAACCTCCGCCTCTGTTCCTGTTCTCCCTGCATCACACACACACAACCCTCTTCCTCCAAGTTGTGATAACATGCCATCTCAGTCACAGCTGAGTGGGCCAATGCTTTCAAGTCACACCTTCAAGATCATCCACAGCACTTACGTGCTGGAGGTTTTACTACTGATTATCAGTTTTGAAAAGGAGTGGCTACCTTCCCTTCAAATCAGATTGACAGGGGTAAGCTGAGCTTTTAACTTCCTTTGCAGCCTGATGAATCCTTTCACGTAATCTACTCCCTATCACTGTCACATTTTCTAGTAACAGGAGAGTTAAGGCTTTGCCCAGTATCTACAAGTCGTATGTAAGAGATGGGTTGCTAATGATGTAATGCAGGATACAGCTTATTAAATTGCACCTTACTCTAATTGCTCGGTCTTCCTGTGTCTGAATAAACTTACATTTTCATCTAGCCTGGATTTCTAATGTCTAGAAGGTGACGGTGCATTACTGCAAGGAGCTCCAGAATTGCGTACTAAAAGAATAATCTGCTCAGCAAAGAGGAGACTAGCATCGTTGACCACATTGTAAGAAACTTGCAACCACAGAATCATGGAATACTAGGTTGGAAGGGACCTCAAGGATGATCTGGTCCAAACTTTCTTGGCAAAGCATGGTCTAGACAAGATGGCCCAGCACCCCATCCAGCTTAGTCTTAAAAGTGTCCACTGTTCGGGAATCCATGAAGTGAGATACACACATACAACACAACTGCACTCTAAGAACAACAGCTGGTTGTTTTCTTTCCAGTCTAGATTATGCAATGTGATGCATTATACAAATAGTTAGTTCTATAACCATCTCTACTTCAGCTGAAGTATCTGGAGCTCTGACTGAGGCACTGTATTGCAATTCTGCCCCTCTTACGATGGAGGAGAAAACAGAGACTGACAGTGGTACTCAAGTTTGTCTTTCTGACCAAAAAACCCCAAACAAACCCCCATAAAAAACTTTTCAACATCTATGAACAATGGAAATAACTCTAAGAATAGACTGGCTTGCATGCATGTTCATTAAGCAAAACATTTGTTTCCTTGTAATGTAAAAATTACAGCAATACTAGTGATGCATAACCAACAAACTGTATACCATTACACAATAGTGGGAAATAATTGCAGGCTCGGCAGTTTAGCTTGATGGATAGATCTGAATCCTAACAGCTCTACCAGTGTACACTGACTCAAAGTGACACGGATTAGAACACGCTTTTTCAGTTTCAAGTTTCTTTTAAATTCCTCAAGCAGACAGCTAAGGTCTGCTTTTTCTTCCTGGATAAAAAAAAAAATAAGAATCTTCTGGTGGTACCATGCTTAATCTTAATAATGTCAAAAAAGGGTGTTTGTGGGGTTGAAGGGTAGGACTAGAAATACCTAATCCCATATCTTTCCTACTAAAAAAAAATTACGTACTTATTTAGCTCCACTGCCAATCCACAGAATACTCACAGAATAAGTCAATTTGGAAGTAAATGCTGATGTTGAAAACCAACTTTCCAATGTATCATGGCATGGGGGTGGTGGTGTTTAAACAAAATGTTAGCTGGCTGCTAGAGAAACTTGTGGTCAATGCCACTCTCCTTGGCTAATACATCTATGGGGAGATAAAAAGGAAGCAACCGTCTTTCCTTAGCCTGAATGCAAAGACCTTTCAGTGGGTCTAGAACAGAAAGCAAGAATAACCTTAATTCTGGGATTATTTATTGCCCCTCCCCCTGCTTCATGCTGGAAGAACAGTGAAGCATGCAGAAAGAATGCAAATGTGAGAGCACTTTGTGAAAGTGAAAGGGAAGGAAGGGGAAGAAAAACAGCATGATGGGACCGGCACCTGCTTTTCTCAGGTTGGAGTTTGGTGATGGAGTACAGTTCCCAGTACTGGATAAAAGGTGCCACAGCAACATTCGATTAAGTTTTGATCCCGTATAACTGATTATAACAGTCACATTCATTGAAGAAGTTTGAGAGGTTAATTTTATAGAATTGTTATGGCTGGAAAAGACCTTTAAGATCACCAAGCCCAACCATTAACCTATGACTGACTTTTGCAGCAATAAGTTTTAAGATCACTGCTTATTCTCTCAGAAATAGCAGAAAGCTGCATGAAATCAAAACACCAGCACAAGCTTGTTAATGTGGTCTAATTACCTGAGGCACATCGTCACTGTACAGCCAGCTCTCAATCAGGTGTGGGCAGCCAGATAGCACAGAGACCTGGTATTAGTTACCACAAAGTCACAGCTCTACAATGTCTGCAACATTTACCAGCGTTGCCGTGTGTCATCGAGTTCCAGCCCAAAGAACGGGACATTCATTTTTTAGCCTCACTCGTATCTTATAGAAGAAGAGTATATCATCCCAAACAAATTTAGGAGGTTCCAGGATAAGGAACAGCACTGCAAAATACTGGCAGCCAGCTCTTGTAAAAGGATTCTTGTTACTCTACATTTCAGTGACGGGAAGAAAAAGAGGTTTTGTGCTTACCTGATTTCAAGTGCTTTGATCGCTTCTAACATCTGTAGATACTCAGCTGCTTTCCAAACATCATTTGCTTCTTCCTCACCTTGGACCATTAATTTTGCTGTATAGGTGAACTCAATTAGGTGACGAAATGCCATGTTACTTACACCTATATACAGGCAAGAAAAACAACAGCTTCTTTTAGCAATTCCTCAGCCTCACCTGTCTGATGAATCTTGCACACTTGCCTGCTCATCATTTTGCTCACAGTACTGTAGCCTCCAGTTTCATGAGCCCTTAAAAGGCTTATGTTGGAATAAAAAAAATCTACTACAGAAACACGTGAATCTGGAACAGTTATGCCACAACAAAGACAAAAGAAAGGACAAGATGGACAAAAAGTTGTTTGAATAATAAAAAGTATAGATTTAAACACAAAAATACGATCTCTCTCTCAAGAGACCTCTGAGCAGCACATTACTGGAGGCTGAAATAATTGCTCCAGGAACTTCCTGCCTGCCTACCAGGCAAGTATTGCTCCATGTCTATCCTGTTCTTGCACCCCAGCCAAGGCATCTAGCATTGGCCATCACTGGCAGCCTTTTTCATCTGACCAGAATGGCTGTCGTCAGGGAAAAGATTGTGTGTCACACTGCTAATCCTAAAAACACACAGGGTCTGCCTGACCTCCATGAGCCATGTACCTGGGGCAAGGATTAAAAAAAAAAACAACAAGGAAAATAACACCTACAGAACCTCACACTTTTCCTTCCAAAAGATTTAATCCAAGACTGTTCTTTTTAATTTTTCTTCAGGGAAAGTCTTTTTCCACTGTGGTAGCCGCCTCAGAACAACTCTAGAGCTGAGATCTAGAAAGCCAATTGATATGACCAAGCATGTATGTAACCCTGTACCAAAGATAACACATTCATTTCCATCTTGGACACACAACTTTGAAGGGTTTTATTTGCAGAAATCAGATTACCTTCTATCTCCACCAAGGGCTCCTGAGTAAAATCTTGGAAGAATTTGTAGAAGAACTGG